GCCCGGAGTGGGAACAGGACCAGTTCCCTCCAGCACCTCTAACAGTCGTATGGCCCTCAGCAAAGCACACGGTTGTCCGATGGAGCCACCGAGGTTTCTGTCATCTTACCTGCCACGTGATGAGAGCACCCCATGTTAGGTTTTGTGATGCCGATGATGAGTCCAGAACAGGCTTGTGAAGGCGGCATTCTTTACAGGCTCTGTCGTCAAGACACACATCTTCAGCTACCTTGTTATGTCTACATAATGCATCTTCATTTGGGAACATAATAAATTACAACATCATTTACCCACCTCAAAGGGCAGGTAAAAGTCTTGTGTTCCAGAAATAACTACTGTTCACTCTTTGCTAGAGTGGAGTGTTGACTGTAATCACCAGTTGAAGATCTGTTTCTTCTAGTCATTTACAACAGGCTCTGGGGGAGTTCTCATGTCCGAAATTTGTGCAGACCATGAAAGGACAGGTGGAGATTCATAAAACATGCCATCATACAGAAATCTGTGTATGACTCACTAATCTGCAGTTTGCATGCATAGTCAGCAGTAGCATGGTGTTCATTGCGATCCAGTTCTTAGGGACTTGCTGAGCTCCCCGGCCACATTTCCTGAGATACGGCTCAAGGTCACCATCAGCTTTTGCCCATTTGCAAAGTCTCTTTCATGTCTCCTGTTGCTCACATTGGGTAGTCCCTTTCTTATGTATGGAATTGTATTAACTAGAAATTTCAGAGACCTCTTCTTAGATTCTTTTTGCATTTGTTCAACATTCTCTCTGTAAACACACCATCCCCATCAACTGTTCTGAGCAGACTGATTTGCTCCGGCCTGGGCTTCTGTTCCGTGTGCTCACCCTCTCTCCTCCCCTTGGCCGCAGGGACCAGGTGCTCCTCTTTCCCTCCAGGCTCATCGGCCAGTCCTTGTCCATCCCTTTTGCTGCTCCCTGCTCATCTGCCCCAATTCCAGTCGGCATCCCCTGAGGGTATAGACAACAAATTATTCCCAAGAATTCACAATTGTGTTGGGTATGACGTCTGGCACTGAAATCTGGTACTATCAACAAAAATGTGATATTCTTTGTTACACTGTGTGCTTGTTAAAAGAAAAAAAATATTGTAATTTAAGCATTTTAAATGAATCGTTCTATTGAAAGGCATGGCTTTATAGTGAACCTAGTTATTTACGTAGTTCTAGAGCATAGAAAATACTGGAAATGTTTTCTACAAGTCAGCAAATTCTGACATTACCTGACATCACACTCACAGAGGTGGGCACGAAGGAAAAAGTGTAAGTCAACTTCATTCTAAATGTAGACATTATAAATAAATACTAGCAAGTTAAATCCAGTGATGTCGTTTAGAAGGACGTATATGGGCCTGGTAGCATGTATCCCATGAAGGCAAGCGTGGCTCAGCCTCAGGAGACGCCGTTCTGCCCTTCCCCATGTTGAGGAAGCAGTGGGTGGAACCACACCTGCCCGTCGGTGGATGTCCCGGTGGCACCGAATGGAAAGTGCTGTGAAATGCCATGTGGGCTAGTAGCTAATTAGAAGTAGAAAGGAGCTCTGTTTGATAAAAATGGCACCTCTAAAAATGCGTAACAATCTAGACGGTGCAACTTCAGAACATCCTTATTAAAGGCAGATAGAGCAAGCATGCATGCCGTACCTGCTGATGTTCAGTATGTTAACCGGTGGTCCCAGCTGATTAAGTCTATTGCAAATCATTTTTTAAAATGTAAAATAGCTGCTGGTATTTACAAATGACTTAATAATCCCTGGAAAACTCAAGAAAAAAAACAGTTACGAGAATTCATAAGAGTGTCATAGCATGACATACGCAAAATCAATGAGCAAAACTCCAAAGTTTTCCTACACACCAGCGAGATCCACTTAGGAAGTAAACTGGAGCAGCACATCCCTTTCCAGTTGCTGCAAGTGGTAGAAAATTCCCAAGGGTGCACCTGTCGAGAAAGAAGTCCCAAATAATGAAAAATGTGCTGCATCTTTATAGTAACAGTGCAGTAGCTATCAATTATGCTGATTTTAATTTGGCAGTAAATATGCTCCGTTGAATTTGGCAAAGACTTGTGCTTTCGTTCTTTATGGTTTCCTCTGGAGGCAGATAAAACCAGCTAGTGTTTTTCTCATTTTACCAATGAAGCCTTAGGTAGTTTTTACGACAGCGTGTCGGTGTGTAATGCATGAGATGGAAGTGTGTGTTGTAAGGTGCTCACTGCCTGGTGCTTGTCCCAGTGGCTGTTTCATACCGGCCTGTTTTTTCTATGATCTGCCAGCCAAGGTGGGTGTATTTCTTTGAAAAATGAAACTGGGAAATGAGTACCAAATTGAGGATAATTCTCCTTTCTCTGCTGTGTCGTGGATATTTTATTAAAAACTCCCACAGAGCATTTTTATTTTAAATTATTTTGGTGAAAAAGAAGGCAAAACGTTTCCACTATTTTAATAACTTCATTGTGATTCCTCAGTGAGTGATCAGAACAGAACTAGAATTAATTTCAGACTCATGCTTGTTCTGGGGATAATGTCGTTAAGATCTGAAAATGGTCTGAGTACGTTCTGTTTCTATTAGAGTGATTAAAACAGGAAAAGCACGATAATTTGAAGTATGCAGTATTAGTTTTCTAAGTCTGTATAGCAAATTACTACAAATTTGGTGGTTTAAAACAACAGGACTATTTTCTTGTAGTTGTGGAGGCTAGAAGTCCTAAACCAGTTCCCTGGGATGAAACATCAAGGTGTTTTCCCGGCAGCGCCCCCTCTGGAGGCTCTCAGGAGACTCTGTTTCTTGCCTGTGAAACCACTGGTGGCTGCCTGCATTCCCGGGCTTGTGGCCACACCACTCCAGTCTGTGCCTCTGCAGTCACATCGCCGCCTCTTCCGTGTGTGTCCACTCTCGCCGCCTCCCTTTCGTAAGGACACTTGTGGTTGAATACAAGGCCCACCTGGGGAATCCAGGATACTCCCTCCATCCCAAGGTCCTTAATCACACCTGCATACACTCTCCCTGGGTGGGAAAAAATGCATACTGTGGAGGGAATTGGAGAAGAGTTTGAATACTAGTCAATTGCTCGCTTGTTGACCTTGACCAAGCTACTTAACCTTTTGGAACTCAAGTTTCTTCACCTGAAAATGGAACTAACACACGTCCAGCTCAGGGAGTTTTTGAAAGAATTAAGAGAAGGGATATTGATACAAATATTACTTTGTTACCTGTTTTCTGAAGGGTGTGGTGTCATGTACAGTCATGCCTTAAGCCCCAGTTGTGGACAGGGTGCCGGTAGTCGCCCATTCAGAAATATCCTGAGCGTGATAGGTGAATGTCATTAAGTTGGTGAACTGGAGGTGTGCATGAAACGGACAGTCACTAACACCTTGGTTTCTGTGTAAACACACTAAATTGACTCTGTGTTTGATGCAGGAAAAGACTGTTCCTCCACAAAGGGGAAAGTTGGTTGTGACGGCTGTGCTGCTCCCTCTCTCTGCACACGCAGGTGCTTCCTGAGAGACTGACCTCTCACCCCTTGGTCCTTTGGCCTCGTACTCACAGTCAGTGTGCACGTCTGGCTTCAGAGCTGTGGGCCCCATGCGTTCCTGGGAGTTCCCCTTCCCTGCATGTTTAGCTACATAGGGACAGGAATTAGTGATACTGTGGCGTGTAGCTCTCGTAGGCATTCATAAGAGGATCAAACGCTGTGGTCTGACCTTCTGACCACAGAGTAAAGTGTTCCTGTGGAGCATGAGCGGTTACTGCACCAGCTGTGGCCTTGGGAAGTGAGTCACTGGGCTTACAATGCTCCTGAGTCACAGACCGTCCTGCAGATCTGGCTGACTCATCCCCGAGGTGCATTGTGTCCAAGAGGCCTCCCACAGTGACCATGCATCACTAAAGAAGATGAGAAATGTGGTAGGGGCTGGTTCCAAGGGAAGCTGGCAGCCCCTCTTCCAAGACCCTCCATGCCCCTGCCTGGGGGAGAGGGGGGCAGTGGGGCTTTGGAAAGGGCGTGGGGAAGAGCAGCAGAGGGCGGCACGGAGAGAAGGTTGTCTGCAGGGCAGGGTGGGGGCATGGGTGGCACAGGCACCAGGAGAGCAAGAAGGGAATGCTCCCAGGCGCGTGTCATGGGAAGTAGGCTGTGTCAGGTCTCAGCACTTGGGATTTATATTTATCATTGATGCATGGCACTTAACAGCTGTCATCGCCATGTTTAGGGCTTGATCTAACCCTTTTTTTCCCGGTGATGTTTTACAGGTGCTCTGACCAGGTGCTTGTGGCATCAGGTTGGCAGATGTTGAAAGAGATCTTTAGTGGACAGAAACACAATGTGTTTAACCAGGAATAAGTAGAACAGACATTGGAGAGTCTGTCAGGTTCTAGACAGTGCTAGATAAATGCAAAAGTCAGAAGTGTAAGCTGGCCCCTCAGAGAATGTTTTAAGTGTTGGGAGAGGAGATGTGAGAGCCAGAAGCCATCGGAGAAGAGCATTCTGGTGTCGAGTCGGAGCCCAGTATCGGCCGTGTGGTGGGCAGTGAGCGGGCTGTATGAGGGGAGGGTGCCGAGGGCTCACTGAGCTCAGGAGCGGCCTCGCGCAGTCACGCAGCACTGACCAGAGTCCCCGGTCCCGGTGGGCACACATGGGGAGAGCACACACAGCCCCTGTGCCTGGACAGCCGCTCAGGTCACGAGGAGCTGGGTAAGCGAACATAGTGAGATGGCAGCCTCGTCGCACAAGCCTGCAGGGAGGCTGCAGGGACCGTGGCGTGAGCCGAGCTCTCACTGGTCGACTCTCCCGCCTGAACAAAGGGGTTCTGTGCCCAGGACTGTGGGGACACACGGGAGTGCTTTCCCAGGAGTCTGTGAGCCACTGTCTCCTGTACTGCTCAGTCGGCCTTAAATGACTGTTAAGGGAAGGGATGCTTTGCATTATGAAATTGTAGTGTTAGTGACAGATGTTAGCCAGTAACTTTATGTTCCATTTTCCCTCAGTGTCAAATCAACAGTGCCTTGACGTCCTTCCACACTGCTTTGGAGCTGGCTGTGGACCAGAGGGAAATCCAGCACGTCTGTCTATATGAGATCGGTGAGCACGCCGTCCGTCCAGCTTCCTGTCGCCACCGGTCCCTCCCTTCTTGTGCCCTTTTCCATCGTCAGTGTGTTCCGTTTGCATCTTTATAAGATGCTTGCTGCCTTCTTGTAATAACAGGACTTTGTTATCATAGTACAAGCAATAATGTTTGTCCCAGTGATCTCATTATTTCTTTATGATTTACTCTTTGTAGTATTTTGAATTTAGGATACCAGATGTTATCAGTGTTACTCAAATTAATTGACTAAAAACCATTTGTAAATTCCACATTCGACTGTACGTTAGAATTCAAAACTGTTTTCTCCTCCGTCCTACCAATGTTTACCTGAGAAGAAAAACGCAGTGTGAGAGAGGGTTCGGCACGTGGACCCCACTCCCAGCTCTCCACCTACCCACCCGCTCAGGGACCTCGACCGAATGGAGTGCGCCCTGGCGGCTGTGGTGGCAGTTCAGGCACCTCCCCTTGTCCCAGCTGAGGTTCCGTGAGACAGCACTCGGGAGGACCAGGCAGGGTGCCTGGCACGCAGAGGGCCCTGCACACGTTAGCTGCCTCCTTTGGCTCCTCCCCTTCTGCAGTCTCTAAACAGACTTGGGACTAGCTATTTGCTTAATATTTCCTCCTCCTTCCCCAGGGTTGTTGCAAAGATTACTTTGTTGACAGAACTGAAATTCTCCTGTCCTGTTATATTAGTAATTCCATAATCCTTTTATGTAACAGTTGCTGAGAAGCATAAATACAACTTTAAATTTTTAATAAGGGGTTCATACTCTTTAGAATTTCAGCGCATTACCAGAAGGTCACATCCTGTATCTCATACGAGAGGAATGAAGGAAAGATGAGGTAGTGATGGGAGTTACATAGGAAATTGGGGTTCCGAAAGCCACTGTGGAGAGATGGAAGGAGAAATGGAGAGTGCTGGGGAGGCGGTCAGCACCTGTCGGGGCAGGACCCCAGGATGCCCACCCCTTGCCCCCTGGGGACATGATTGTCCTCCCGAATCTTTTTAGAGAAAAGTGTAAACTAAAAGATTGTGAGTTGCCCAGTAAGTGATATCATATTTTAAATGCCTTGCGTGTTTAGGGAGGGGAGCAGATGTCTAATGCATTACAAAATGCATATTTATGCAATCTGAACTCTGCCGGGAGCCACTACGTAGGCCGGAGTGTGTTTCAAAGACCTTGGCTACAAGACCTGACTGGGTGGCCTTTTCCACACACCATTGGAAAGCCTGTGGCAGAGCTGAAGGAGCCCAGAAACCATTGAACCCAACTTCAGAACTTAACTCTGGAGAAAAGTAGCAAAATCAGAACTAAGTTTTCTTACTCAGGTCCAATGCTATCTTTCACCTCTAGTTGGCGTTTAACTCAGATCTTGCCCTGATGTCCATTACAGGATGAAAATAATCAGCCCCACTTCTTACTCTAAAATATGTCAACTTCATAGCCTGTCCCTTAGAATCTGGCACTGAATTCCGGTTCGCCTCTTCCCCATAGTACATGGGGCAGGTCCCAGATGGCACAACCACTTCCTGATGATGTACCTGATACAGAATTTTCTCTGTATGGAGGCCAGTAACATGGGCAGGAAAGAGGGTTGGCCTCCGATCCTCATGTCTTCCCTCCCGGGAGCCCTGTGGCCCTGAGCAGGGACCACCATGCCTTAAGTTTTCTCCCCAGTGAAGTGAGCGCACCACCAGCCGCCCCGCAGGGCTGTCGTGGGGTCAGAGGGATGAGTCAGTGCCTGGCACAGGGCTCGGCCTCTCGAAGGGGCTGGGTGGACGGGACTCCTGTTACCACAGTGGGCATGAAATCCCTCACATGGTCCCTGCTGCCCTTCCTACCAGAGTGCTAGTCTGCTGGTGTCTAGATCTGGAAAAGACAGCTTTCTCCTCAGCTCCACTACCAACCTGCTGACTGCTTGCTCTTTAACTCTCACGGTGGTCTGAGAATTGCTGGGGGTCAGTAATGAGCGAGGGAGTGCTGTAAGACTTCGCAAGGTGGGTACTCTCTGTGTGAGCAGATGGCACTGCTTATCCTGTGCCCCCGCCTGCTCCTGGGCATGGACCTCTGTGCTTGGGTCACTCTCACAACTGTAGGTGACAAGTTGGAGTATTTTTATAGAAATCTTTATGTCACTTTCTTTTTGGCAGCATAATTAGTTGTGAAATCAGAAATGCCTTATCTTAAAATGGCACATAAGTATATTTAACAGGAAAAATAATTTTTGAAAAATCCTCAGGTAGCTGACCCTGCATTCACAGGGGGTGGGAGCAGGACCAGAGACATGCAGCTCATGGGCAGGCGGGGCCCGAGTCTCGCTGCAGTGCTCCGAGGTTGTGCACTGATGGTGTTTCTTTCGTAGGTTGGTGCAGCATGATAGAGCTGAATTTCCAGGATGCATTTGATTCCTTTGAGAGGCTAAAAAATGAGTCCAGGTGGTCCCAGTGCTATTATGCCTATTTAACCGCAGGTGAGTAGACCATTGCTGCCGTGAGTGAGCTCACACGCGTCAGCCGGGGGTGGGGGTGGGGATCACGGCAGGAAGAGGCTGAAGCTGTGTTCTCCCGGATGCGTGAATGCTTCTGCTACCCAGTAAACAGCAGCCCCGTGCAGCGTGCCCGGGCCCTGTCAGGACTGCCTCTGCCCCTTCCCCTCTGTCCCTCCGGGGCTGGTTTGGTCACATCCTCTGTCTTGGAAATGCTTATTGCAAGGTTTTCCCCATTGTGGTGCATTTCCCCCTAAGCAGCCTCAACGCATCCCTCTGCTTTATTTTCTGAAATACGTTTTTTAACATGTCTTTTCATTTGTGTTTATGTCTTTGTTAAGATTGTTAGTGCCTTGGTTACTACCAAGTCGCCTAGATTTCGAGTAGTCTGAACCCATCTTGTTTTACCTGTTTGTGCTGTTGTATTTACAGCGTGATTTTGCAGAACACAAGATATTTCAACACTGCACATCCTTACAGAAGAAACATCTGTAATGTCTCATGTGGATGTGAGGATCTTGGGTTTTTGCCATTGTATGAGATAATTAAAGATATGCTGCCACCTGGTGGACGAAAGGGTTGTCTGCTCCCTGAGGGGCCTGAGTGCCATTGTGATGTTACAGAATTGTAGAGGTGGAAATTAAAGAAACCCACGTGGTGGTTGTCCATTTTCTGCTTCTGATGATGAATTCTCTATATACAGCCATATTAGTGATTATGTTACTTAAAATTCAGGACTGGGCCTAAACATTATTTTAATTATCTCTTTAATTCTTTGAATATTTGGGCTTAATGAAACATCTTCTTTCATTCCATCCCCTTAAGTCGTCCTTTAAAATGAGGTAGAATGGGCCGTGGTCAGCAGGTATGTGCTGGATGTCCTAAAGCTGCAGTCCGTTAGCAATCAGGGTGGAGCCCGCCCGTACCCACAGCCCTGCTGCAGTCTCAGCAGGACATGCGTTTTCATACAGCTCTGCAGCTTGTGTTCGAACAGGGTTATTTTCAATGTGCTGATTAGTGTTCTGTATCTCCCACCTTAAGGGTGGTTTCATAGAATTCAGGCATCTCACATGAAAGTAGCAGCTGTTTACCCAGCGGCCTCCGCGGGCTCAGCACGTTGAGGGGCAGATGACCCAAGTGAGCGAGGCCAGCACAACAACCCAGCAGTTATTAGGGCGTAACTGGGTCACACAGCCAACTGTGGGCAGCTAATTCTTTAATCTAGTTGCACACAGAACACGAAAAAATAAATGTACATGGTGGCTGTAAGGAGGAGCATTTATCTCCAAAGACGGAAAGTCCCAGGACTGTGCCGGTTGCAGGAGACGGTGCAGTGTGGGGGCCTCTGATGGGAGGTGTGTGAATAGGTCCACGACAGAGAGTGCAGGCAGGGAAGGATCTCTGTCAAGCGGTCAGAGAAGGCGCCTTCCTTGCAGGAGCTGCTGTGTGAGCTGGCAGTGAAGGACAGGCACACGTTGACAGGCAGAGCTGGAGAGGGCGGGCGTTCCGGACCCGAAACACTGCCGCCATGGGTGTCTTCCCTGGTGCTGGTTTCTGTGCGTGCGGCTGAATAGATGTGAACGTAAAATCTGTTCTAACCGTCTTTACCATTTTAAGGGTAGAGTTCAGTGGCCTTAAGCACATCCATATTTTCTAACGCAGCCATCACCCCTGTGCGCCTCCAGAACTGCGTTGTCACCCCAAACTGGAGCTCTGTGCCTGTCAGACGGTAACTCTCCAGGGTCCCCTGTCCCCAGCCCCTGGCAGCCACCACTCTGCCCTCTGTCTCCGTGAGTTTGACTGTTCTCTGTACCCCATACAAGTGGAGTCACAGAATCTGTGTTTCGTGTCTGGCTTATTTCACTTAGCGTGTTATCAGAGTTCATCTGTGTTGTAACATGTATCAGAATTTCATTCATTTTTAAGGCTTTGCTTGGGGTGGGTTGAGGATGGTCTCTCAAAATCTTACCATCTTTATGGCTCAGCCTGACAACTAGTTCCTCAAAGCTTCCTTGATCACACCAAAGAGAAACAATCCCTCCTCTTTCTGAGCTTTCCCACAAGCACTTTGGTTCTCTGAAGACTCGTACCACTGTGTACACGGTAGCAGTCAAACCGTGAGTGCGTCTCACCTCTGGAGCTGCACGCGCATTCCTTCAGGGAGCGAGCGCATGTGTTACTTTCTGGCGGCCCGCAGGTGGTCCACACCAGTGAACAGGGTTCCCATGACTTTCTTTCCAGGCACAGGGATGTTCTTCTCCCAGGAGGAGCTTTCAAGATCATCTTGGCCTCTCCTGGCTTTTTCCTACTTTCCTTTTCAGTCTACTTCCTGAGCACGTGAGCTGCCCCTGAACTGCACGCTATGATTTGGTTGCACACAAGGCTGTCTCCCCAGCAAGAAGACCAGGGCCATGGCCTCCCCCTGTGTCCCCCGAAGCTCTGGGCACCTAGCGCCTGGAAATAGGGGTTCAGTCAGTGGAAGGATGACCGGCAGGATGCTCCCATTTTCTCACTGAGAACATTTCCACGTATCACCCACCTAGTAACCCTTTGTGGCATTTTCCTCCAGATACTTAAGCAATGTAATGATGGTTTCTTCCAGTCTGTCAGGGAGCCACCGGTGATGTGGAGGGGGCACAGATTGTCTTTAAAGAAGTTCAGAAGCTCTTCAAAAGGAAGAACAATCAGATTGAACAGTTCTCAGTGAAAAAGGTGCGTTGGGCCTGCTGACGTGGGGCATTGTTTATAATGGGCGTTGTAACCAGCTCTACCTTAGACGGGTTTTGGGCAAGCCTATTTAAAGTTGGCAGCTTGCCACATAAAATGCAGCCCCCCACTGTGGAGAGAATTTACTCCTTTGGTCGTGCTTCTGCTCTGAGTGGAAAGTGTGTGTTCTCCTGCAAATGGTTAAAGCAGTTGCTTTTCGAGTGAGCAGGGAGATCACAGACCCTGTGGAGCTCACGAGTGCGCCTGTGTACAGTTTGCGGCAGTTCCAGCAGGACAGACAGCGGCAGACCCTATCCAGACTGTTGCCTCTCAGTGTAGTGAACACACCACGTTTTGAGCTAATTAAAAAAAATAGTTTGCATCACATTTACCAGGAGAAAGTCCCGGGACTGTAGGGACAGTGCCCATAATTTATCCTACACTTTTAAGAATAAACTTGAGCTGAGTTACTGTGGGTTACACGACAACTTGTCATATCCTAAATATCCCACGGTTTTAACTTAGCAAGTTTTTATGGAATGAGCAGTTAGTGACCTAGTTTGAGTGCAAACGAGATTGTACTATGGAATGCCACTGAGAGAGCTGCACCTTGGAAGAAGATTAAAAACTCAGAAAAACCATAACTAAAAGTCACCTAGTTCTTCATCCTCCTTATAAAACCATTGAGTTATTGTCACCCAGCTTTTATAAATCCCTTTGACTTAACCCGAAATCTAGTTTCATCCCAGAGTTTTCAGAATAAATCCTGAAACATGATAATAGACTGAGTTGAATGATGAGCAAAAGGCACAGGTACTGATATATTAAAAATTAGAAAGCAAAAACTTTTTTATAGAAAATGTTTCATTTTTCGCTCTGTGGCAGAGGGCCATTTGTGTCAAGTAGGAACTGTGTACTGTTAAATGTCTCCAAAGCATACTAGTCATGCTACCTCTTGCAGGCAGAGAGGTTCCGGAAGCAAACGCCCACCCGGGCACTCTGCATGCTGGCGTCCATCGAAGTGCTGTATTTGTGGAAGGCCCTCCCCAACTGCTCCTTCCCCAACCTGCAGAGGATGAGTCAAGGTAAAAAAAAAACCAACAACAACAACAAAAAAACCACACACACAAAACCATATACATTGGCTTGCTTCTTCAGTTTCTCATTAATATTCCCTGATTCAGAGTGCACGTCTGTGGCTCTTGGCTTGATGACGCAGTGACTAAGAGAACTCAGGCGCTCAGGGGCCGGGTGTGGGAAGCACTGGACTGCGCAGACCTGCTTGTTGTGTTGGCAGTGTGGGGTGCCGCACCCTGACTGTGCTCATCCTGCAGCCGTGGGGGTTGCTGGAAGTGTGTTTTTCTCAACAAAGTTCCTTTGTTTCTTACAGGTTTGATTCACACTCATTAAATTGCACAGGTACTAAGTGTAGGTTCAGTGAGTTTTGACAAACACACGCTGCAGCATCCACCAGCACAATCAAGACAGAGAACATTTCTACCACCCGAGATCTCCTCGGTGGCCCCTCCCAGCCAGTCCCTGCCCCCAGGCAAGCTCTGCTGTGAGTTGGCTCCAGAGGTTACTTTTTGCCCGTCCTTGAACTTCAAATAAGTGGGACCAGACAGTGTATACTTTTTAGTGCTTGACTTTGACTTTATTATAGTTGACTTTATTATAGTCAATTATTATTGACTTTGACTTTGACTGTGTGCTTGATCCACCATGGAGCCTGTGTTGGTAGTTCGTACCTGTCACTTGCTGAGTGGTGCTCCACTGGATGGCTCTGCTCATACAGCCATTCCTCACTGATCCTCCTCAGGGACACTCAGTCTGTGTCTGGCTTTTACTGCTACCAGCATAACTGTACTAGCTTCTTGTTTGGACATCACACACTCATTTCTCTCGAGTAAATAACCTAAGAGTATAATTAGACGCCTACACTTTTCATGCATACATTCAAAAAGCATAAATCTACAGATTATGGCAATATAACCTTCATAAAGTTGTATTTATTGTGGTGGTAGGAAAAGTTCACAGAAGAAATTAAACCTTACATAAAATAATGCATTACTGGTTATTAAAGAAATACTGTGACATTTCTCCTAAAGGTTTGATGCAGACATTGGAATGATATTACTAGCCCAGGAAACTACGTAGTTTGCCCCACACTGCGGCGGGAAAGGCAGACACTGTGGCCCACCCATTTGATCATCAGCGGGCTGAAGGCCAGAGCAGCACGGGGACTGGCTGCTCCCTCAGGCGCTGGTGTCAGTGCTGCTGGTCTGAGGACGGCTCAGTGCGTGGTGGAGCTTCCGGCTTCCTACACCCCACAGCCCCGTCCTCCCGGGAGTGGGCAGGTGCATCATGCAGCCGGGAGTACAATTACAGGATGAGACTAACACACAAACCCTTACCTCCAAAACGATGGTTTCACAGAAAATAATTATCTGTGGAAGTGTGTCCTTATTCACATACATGCTGCCTTTTTCCAAAAGAGATTTAGTATTAATATTTTGGACTTACTCAAAAATACATAGTTTTTAGTCACTGTAAAAAATGTCAGCCTTCTCTACATTCATGCTTGTTTTTGATGAAATCCAGCGTTTTCTATCGAATCACATGCTTTTACCATCAGAATTCCTTGCAGTTGCCATCCTCAAAGCTTAAAACTTTCTTCAGTGCTGTTGTTCCAGAGACCAAAATACTGAAACTCCAAAAGGAGTTGCTCACGGAGGCCCTGCAAGGAGAGTAGGCTTGTAACCCTCCTGAGGGGACTCTTGGAAAGGAAACGGAATTTTCTTGGGTGCACAAGTTCTGCTGTGTCCATTTTAAAAGATATGCGTAACTTTAAACCCATCCTAGTTCTTGACCCAAGTCTAGATATCTGCTGATCTAACTCAAAGGAGCAGTAAAGAATGTGAAGTTAGTGCAGGCTCATGCATTTAATTTAATAATCAAACAAACTGCAAATATAAAAGGCAGTAATTGACAGGCACAAGGACAATTCTCACTAAATGTGAGTAAATATTCTGCAAACCCCGTTCTGGATATTCCATAAATAACAAAGATGTAGTTGCGGAGTGGGGGTAAAAAAGAGGCAGTGCTTTAATATCTTTGTTAAAAGTTTGCCCACTTGTAAGATCTATTAATGAGATCACACCATTCCCCAGTGTTAAGCAGTAATGATCCAAAATTGATTTCTCGTGTACAGTACAGGGCAGATCTTTGTAGACAAAGGTTAAATGTCAGAAAATCTGGTAGTGGGGACTGGTGATCATATGCACTGATGAAGTTCCTTTCATCCGGCCCACATAGGTGCGTTCATGTCTTCAGAGTCCCCGTGGTAACCCCTTTCGCAGGCAGAGTTAGCTGGATTCTTACACCCTTTTCTGTGGTTCCACTTCTAGCCCTTCCCCCACCCACCCTCCCATTACACTGTATTCTTCCATTTTAAAGATGTGTCTGTGTATTAGCATTCAGAATGATCCTATTAAACTAAATCACACCGCATCATTTCTCAGTTTTAGACCCATGGGTAAAAGCCCAAGTTCATTCAGTGGTCTGCAGTGCCCTGCAGTATGAACTCACACATTGCCTTCTATTCCATTGCCCTCACTGCTCTTCCTCCTTGCTCACTGGGCTCCAGCTATACTCTTACTGTTCTCAAACTGGCCAGCACGTGCTGGCCAAGGGCCTCTGCAGTGTCTCTTCTTTCCCCCTGCAAACGCGCTTTCAAACATCCACATGTTTCCTCCTCCACTCATTTCCTTTGGGTCTTGACTCAGATGTTAACTTTTCAGGGAGGCTTGAACTGTGCCTTTCTGACTCACGTGCATACCCTCATCTCTCTTCCTGCCTTTATTTTTCACCCTGGTACTAATGCTTCTTTAACGTCAGGTTAAACACTTCTCCACAAAAGGTTAGTTTCTTAAGGGCAGGCAATTTTTCCACTTTGCTACTGCTGTATTTCAAGCACCTAGAACTTTCTAGCACATAGTTGGTGCTCAGTAAATATCAAATGAGTGCGTGCATGAATTGCATTCCACTTTCCTTAATACTACTGCCTTAAGATCATTTGAGTACCATTTATATGGAGCTATTCCCAGCCTAGTCTTTCGAGGCAACTCCTGCATCTGTAGGGTCAGGTTCTGTTCTTCATATTCACTTCCTGCCACTCTCCCCAACTCCTCCAGTGCCTTCCAGTCAATAGTATGTATGTCTGTGTGCACACACACATATAAGCACACAACCATATATGTGTGTATATATATTTGTAAAATATTACTAAATCTCAATATACTTACTAGTTCATAGAAATATGATTACTTCCTTTCCTCCTTTATGTTTCCAATTTCTACTTTTTTTCATTTCCTTGGAAAACCCCCCTGTGACCCTCCACCTGTGGTCCCGCCCTCCACAGCAGGCGGCAAGCTTCCTGAAGTGGAGGGATCCAGTCCGACCCCTTCCCAGAGACTATGTACAGCAGCACCCATACAGACATGTAAAGGGCCTGTTGCGTGGTTTATGAAGTTAACATGGTGCAGTTTAGCAATACATCAATAGACTTTATTTTTTATGGAATTTTTAGGCTCACAGCAAAATTGAGCAGCTACCCACATGAGCTCCCCGCCCATCCTCCACACATACTGCCCCCCAACCATTAGTACCCCTGACCAGAGTTAAATCTGATGAGCCAATACCGACTCCTCATTGTCACCCAAAGTTCATAGTGTTTCCTTAGGTTCACTCATTGTGTTGTGCATCCGGTGGGGCGTGACACCTGTGTAAGGGCATGTATCGTGCGTACAGACAGCGTTACACAGAACAGTTTCACTGCCTCAAAATCCCCTGTGCACCACTCGTTCATCCCACCCTCCCTCCCCGCCCCTGGCAGCCAGGGCCTTGTCCCTGCCCCCACAGTTTTACCTTCTCCAGAGTGCCGTAGTTGGAACCATACAGAAGTCTTTCCAGATTGTCTCCTTTCACAAGTCACCACGTGATGCAGTTCTGAGTCTTCTTGGCCCTCTGAAGTTAGTATCTTTGCCTTTCTTTGACTAAGGACATTCACAAATGGTTGAGGAAGGGGAACCTTTTGATTTTCAGCGACCATAGTTTTGAATTGAGTTTGTGTGAACAATGAAGTGTACTTCACTCTTGATGGCATTTAAGGCGTTAAGTGAATGCATTTCCTTCCTGCTCTTTTCTCTTTAAGCCTGCCATGCAGTGGATGATTCATCTGTTGTTGGACTAAAGTATTTGCTTCTCGGTGCCATACACAAATGTCTGGGGAACTCGGAAGATGCTGTTCAGGTAAACTGTCGCCGTGGTCATGGCTAAGAAAAGTAAACTGTGAGAACCTGCAGATGTGCCCACGAGGGAGAGAAACGAGTGCGCGCTGAGCAAAGCCGGACCCCCCACGGCAATGTGGGCTGTATCTACTTTATGTTAGAAGTTGGCGACGGTTAATACTGGTTTTTAGTGGAACTCCGGGCTCCCGCAGTACCTCTTTCCACCCGCCTCCATTTGTCTGGTACTAGCTTTTAACAAAATATGACAGTCTTGTTGGAGGAGGAGGAAACGCAAACACAGTTTTGGATGAGCGGAGCGAAGTCTCACCCTCAGATAAATACGGCAGCGTGTTCATCCATGTGGGTTGGTGTGTGCTCACGTTCTGTGTCTCTGTAACTGCAGGTCACTGGTGTGTGACTGAAGGGGGCCGGGTTAGGATACGCTGGGTGCATAAGATGTGGAAAAGAGCCATTCATTATTTTCAAATAGAGTTGGAGGGATTTCTCTGAGGGTTTTTTTGTTGTTTGTTTGTTTGTTTGTGTTGTTACATTGTTGTTGTTTTTTTAAAGTATATCCCAGTGTTATGTTGAATACTCTTTGAGAGTTCATGTACAATAATAAGAGTCTTGGGCTTTTAAATCCTGGAGTGTTGATGTGTTGACTTGTATTTTAATTTTAATTTTAAATTGATATTTCAGTGTAGAGTATAATAGTTATTATATAGCTCTAAATAGGTCATTTTTGTCATATGCTTAAATATCAGCTAGATACAGTCAAGATACATGCCACTAGATGGTTCTTGGGCCCTGGCTGGGTACTCAGTTGGTTAGAGCATCATCCCAATAAACCAGGGTTGCAGGTTCGATCCCCATTCAGGGCACATACAAGAATCAACCAATGAAGGCATAAGTAAGTGGAACAACAAATTGATGTTTCTCTCTCTCTCAAAATCAATAAATTTTTAAAACAATTTTAAAAAAGAGATGGTTTTAGCTTGTGTGCTTTCTGTTTTAGGTATTAAAGTCAGGTGTTCTGACTTAGAGAGAGATAAAGATGTCCTCATCAATAAAACCAATGGAAGCTAGTGTACCAGCTGTAAAAATAAGCAGTGCAAATGGGGCTGGCTGGTGGGTAACACTGTCCTGAGAAGGCTCACCCGACAAGCTGGCAAACACTCCTCAAACATGGGTGAGGGTGGAGGGGAAGGAATGAAGATGCAGGACGAAGAGGAAATCTGATACAGAATACAGAAATGGGATGAGTCCCCGTTCTTGTGTCCTGAAGATGTGATGAGCCTAGTTAGGGAAATCAGTTAATTCCAATGGCATTTGTCTCACTTCCAGTTCTTTCAGCGAGCTGTTAAAGATGAGTTGTGTCGTCAGAATAATTTATACGTTCAGCCATATGCTTGCTATGAACTGGGCTGTCTTCTATTAGACAAACCAGAGGTAAGATGTTATATATTTTCTTAAATAAAATTCATCACCAAAAACATGCTAGTGAGCAGTCACAAAGCAGCCTTCTTTTAAAATAAATTGATTAAATAGTGTTGGTTTTTAATTTTTGTTTCACATAGGATAAATCCAAGAAGCTACTAATTTTATCTGTTTAGGAGATAATTTCTTCTCTGGAATTAGGTTTTTGGACAAAAACTTGTTTGAGGGAAGATCGCTGCCGTTTTTAGAATGGAGTGATACGATGTAGGGGGCTTATGCCGAAGAGCACAGAACTGCACTCTTATGGTTCCAGCTGAGCCGTTGGCCGCAGCGTGTGACGCCGGTGAAGTTACCGAGCCGCACGCCTTCCTCCCGACCTGCAAAACGGGACAGACTCCCAACTTGCCAGTGTGGTAAAGACAGTAGTGAGAATAAATGAGGATGATGGAGATGATTCCTTAACAAACTTTAGAATGTCTTATAGCTTTAAGTTGATAATTACTATGAAGATGTATATATAATGGGGCAGGTTTTAGAAAAAATGGGATTTCCAGTAGTGCTACATTTACCTGGTACCTTCTTTTGGAAGCTCAGTTGCATAATATTGGCTTTTTAAATTCTTATTTTTAGTAAATTCAACTCAGTTTTCAAATATATGGACTTTCTAAAAGTTAAGTCAAATCAATGGAAATGATTGTAGCATAACCCTTAAATATGTAGCCCTTAGATATACAAGGAGCTGTAACTTACCAACCTCAAATAAACCTTTTAATTATCACCAATTTTAGGTCATTTACTAATATCTTAAATTATTATAACTCTTATAAGTTGTTATCATTTATAGGATTATAGTGCAGATTCTGAAAAATTATTTTCAAGTCATTCCTTTATGTAGACTCACTATATTAAAGAAAAATGGAATTTTACTTTAATGAGTGGTTGACTCACCTCTGTGACTACTATGAACCATTTTAATTAACACATCCCATTATAACATTTTCTGCATGAGTTTCTATAAATACAGGTGGTGAGCAATATTTTTTTTACATTCATAGACTGCAGCAAGAGGCAGAACTCTACTTCTTCAAGCAAAGGTAAAAACGCCGAATCTCCCTCTTCCTAGTGGGCCTAAGTCTGTAGCGTGCACTTAAGTCTTAATTCAAGAAAGTTTGTGAACTGATTGTTCTGATTGGTATTTCTGAAAAGGAAAAGTGGTGATAATTGAATCCGCAAACACTTGAGTTTTAAGTGAAATTACAAATTCCCTAAGACAGTCCTGCAGAATCTCTCGTTCTGCTTTGTAAACACTTCTAATTTGGGAAATAACTTTTGATATTTCATAACCAGATTCTTGAGTCAAGAATTTCTAACAGCAACCGACACTGAGCACAAATGAAGACCTCTGTGTCAGTAGTCACGTGAGGAAAATTTTACAAAGACAGAATTAATGACATTCATTTGGCATTTTAAAAATGAACACACAGTTCAACATTGGGGAAATAAGAAAAAAATTAAGTGGATGTAAAGCCTTTGGAGTGTGAGGGATTTCCTTTGGAAAGTACGAAACTTAGTGGGGTTTAAACTGCTGTCTTTCAGAAAGCTTAGCGAAGAGAGTCCATAAGTGTCTGTCTTTGGTCTTTCAGGAGGATTTCTCTGGCTACGACTTTGAAAACAGACTGCATGTCCGCATCCACGCTGCTCTGGCCTCTCTGAGGGAGTTGGTTCCTCAGTGACAGGCCCGGAGTTCCCGCTCTGCCTCTTCCCACCTGGGCTCCGCACTTTAAAGTAAAAGCAGAGGACACAGCTCACGTGAAGATCGGCTTTTCTTCTGAAAACCACCTGTGCCAGGGACACATTTTCCCCGTTAGGCTGACATAGTAAAGATCTAGCTAAAAGTAATAACAACGACGATAATAGTGATTATGACTAACCACCTGGGGAGAGGGTTAAGTGACCTTGTTCAAACATTTTAGTTTTGTGATTTATTATTTTTAAAATAAAATCCAGCTAAATATTCAACCTGTGATCTTGTAGGAACGCCTACTTTAAGCACACGTCTGACTGGGAACACTAAGACGCACCTGTAAAATTATTAACGGTATCATGACATAGCATTTATATTGTGTTTTGAACAAAATAAAAGTGCTTTCCAGTGTTGTACTTTGCCGTCCAACTACTCCTGTGAATACCGTGGCCCAGATGTTTCCGTCCCTGCTGTCCAGACCGAGAACCGCAGGCACCAGAGGCAACTGGCGTACCCCGTGAGTGGAGCAGCGAGTCGAGTGCAGGTCTCCAGGCCATGAAGCAAGTTTTCTTTTAGTGTAAAAATATATGTTAATAACCCAGAAGTCCATGTTTTCCTTATTAAAAAAATTGCTCTTCAGTTGAAGTTGTGTCTTCAAAATATTTATCTACAAATTGTCTGCAAAATACTTTAAAGTGGTGATTTTTTTCCTTTGAAAGTCAACCAAGTAGAAGCAAGTGGAGGATAGTTTTATAATCAAAGGTTTAACTGTTTTTACTAATTTATTAGAAAGCCCAGTCTATAACTAGATAAACAAATGCCTACATTTTAGGAGTTTTCCTTTCTTTGTGATAAATTGTGCAATTACCAACTTCTGGAAATCTTTTAACATATTACTTGAAAAGGTTATTCTTGAATGAACACAGGGTTTTTTTGTTTTGGTTTGGTTTTTTTTGGCCTCAAATATTTGCTGGTGAAGAATTTACTGGGCTATCTTTTGCCAGGATTTCATATTTTTCCCCTTAGCTCAGGTCACTTGATATTATAAAAGAGGTTCAAAATTATTTTTATTCTTTGTTATTAATTTTAACTGTCATTTAATTTACATCTTTGTCCATTTAGTACTGCACATCTGTGGTTTTGAAGAATCAAAATACCTCAGTCACTTAGGTGTTTCTACTATAATTGTGTGACTAACTCGGCTGAATCTTAAGGTCATATTTTAAAAAAATTTATACTGAACTGAATGAAATGTATCATCTTGGGGTGTCATTTAGATAGCCTTTTAGCTGAACTTTAATACTTTTAAAAATAAAACATGGGTGGAGCAGCTTAGAATGTTGGCAGGTTTGATCTACTTAATCTGGTTTTGAGGGGAAAATAATTTCTTTGACTAAAATGATTATTCTTTACTGACTTTGGCTAAACTATCTTTGTTTCCTCACTTCCAAAGTGTTAATCCACTTTCTGGTATGAGTCCTGCATGGATATTATGCATTAGCCAGAGAGAAAGGATTGCTACCCTGCATCCAGAGAGTGGGGAGACTGAGAAACCAACTAGATGCTTTTTGAAGAGAAAAATTACTGCCTAAAAATTTTGGATACCTGGTTTTATCTAATCTGAAGGGAAGAACATTATGAATCATTCAAATATGCCTTTTGGCATTTTGTTGTCTTCTTGGCAATAGGACATGAGGCAAACGTCTCAGGATTGTGCAGCTTTTCTGAATCATGAATTTCTTCAGAGTTCCCTCTTGAATTTTCAGTTCAAATGTTTGAACTATTATTTAGAAAAACATCACATAAACACCTGTACTTCACAGTTCCTTAAAAAACTGTTCCTGTACTGCTTTTAAAAATGCTTATTTCTCTAGAGAGTTTTCAGTATTTCAAATAAGTTTGTGTTGCGTTCACATAACAGAATAGAGACTTTGCAACACCATCCAGTAGGTTTTTCTTCAGTAGTTAAAGAAAGTTAAAGAACAGGCTTGTTTATAAATTGTTTCTGCTAGGTCTGGTGCAGGATAGCCCCTGGGGTTTTTGTATCTTAACTTGTGGTAGAGCATAAAGAGGGTGTAGATGGTGATTCTAAAGACTCTTACAAAGCTACAGTGCCGTCCACCGTACCATTAGATTACTGAGCACATGTTTTAAGTTGAGTGATTCCAGCAGCTATCTGGCCCGCATACCATGACTTACCCACCCTGTGAACTACTGTGATCTGCCTGCAAACCGAGTTTGGTATAAACTGCTGTTTACCCCCCACGGATGAAGAAAATAACCATAGAAGCAGAACTGTTTGCATCGATGTGTGCTTTTTTACCATTGGCATCACTCCTTTCCCCTTCCTATTTTGGAGGCTCTCAAATGGATCTTCTAATTTATAAATGTCAAGTATATTTTTGTAATAGATTGTGCCTATAATGAGAAAAATTTGTAATGTATATTTTATGTACTCTGGACACACTTGTAATCTGACACCCTTGGAGGTATGGTCTAATGATATGCACCTTTGTGGTTAATTTATGTAAGATTTTCCTTTTATTGGGTTAGGTACCTTTTTATTTTAGCACAGATAAGTATTTGAGTAAAGAATTACTACTTTAAAATGTCACAGAAAATTAGAATATTTATTGTTGCACATTGTGTAGGTCAATTACTTACAGAATTTGTACTTCTTCTGCCGACTAAAATGAAAGGACAGTCCATACCTTATTTTTAACACACACACACAGGTGTGTTTATTCCTTTGCTATGTAAGCTTTTACGATTAATTGCTTCCTTAACCGGATTGTGGTGGCAAGTACTCAGATATAGCTCCATAGCTATGGAGATACACATTCACAAAGTAGTGATGTGTACTGTTTTTTTTTGGGGGGGCGGGATCCTGTTGGTGCTATATTTTGTAGGAAAAAAAGGTGTCACTGAGCCCAGGTTATCCTAAGAAGATAATAGTAGAAGGAGAATTGGAAGACAGGAAGAAGAGACAGAAAAGGATACGGGGAGCAAGAGAATGGAAAGTTAGTCCATAAAAGAGTAAAGTGCAAAAAGTACCCAGTGCACAGTGTAACATTTGGCCTCCTGATGAAAACTAGCAAGGGTCCTGGAGCCCTAGCTCGTCATTGACTGGGGTATGAAATAGAAGCGACACACTTGTAACCCAGGTGCGCTGGGTTACACTTCTCCCACAGGCCAGTGGTTTTCAAATTTTAGTTTTACAGAGTGGTCCTTGCTGAGATTCTGATTCAGTAGGTTCTGGGCAGGGCTTACAAGGGCGTTTTTAACAAACTCCTGGGATGATTTTAATGCAGGTGGTCTAAATTAGAGAAAAAATTGCCCTGTGTTATCTTTTGGTAAATATTTAGTGAATCTGAGAGAAGAGTCAAACACAAACTGAGTCATGTAGCCAGGTTATGCTTAGAGACAATGTATATCATGGGGCCACTGAGGAAATGCTTCTAACCCACTGGCTTTCTAAACTAGGAGGTTCCTGAGCTGAGTTTCAAAGGAGAAGGAAGAGGATGTCTCAGGCTTGGACCTGGTGGACAAAGGCGTAGAGATGACAACAAGGGTGTGTTCAGGACCAATCTCTAGTGTCAAGTGGGAAGCAAATGGTAAGGGAATTAGTACTCGGAGTCACAGCAAAAACCTTAGACTTCCATAGAGTAAGGATTGGGGGTGGGGTTGGGAGCAATGGGAACTGGTTTCATGCATTCACATTTTGGCTAGATCTCTAGTGACTGAAAAGGAGAGGGACACAAGGACAAGAAGGTTGTGAAACCACGTGAAATCACTGGGTGCTCTAGAAATCAAAGCAGCATATAGTGGTTTGAAAAATTTTGGTTAAATGTTTTTACCCTTAACAATTTGATTTTCAGAGGAACTTGGACAAAACCAACTTTGAAGAAATGTGGAAAGAGTAAAGGCTTGCCTTCTGAGTTACAGGTACGCTGCACAGCATCTAACAGCTAGTAGGTGTCAAGATGATGGACCAAGTTAAGCTACCCAAGCATAAAAGTCTCTAATTCCAAAAGACACCATAAATGGAATCTCTGCTGTTTGCACCTGAGGGTTTTAGTAGCTCATTTACACCTTTGATACATAAACCAAGCCATCAAACATCATGGCAGCCTCATTCATTTCACTTACATTACCAAAGTGATGTTGGGGACAGTGATGAAGGACCAAAATGTAAAAAAAAAAAAAAAATACCATCTTCAAACCTGTCACCACAACCAAGTCTAAAAGAGCATTTGCCCTTTACTTTCAAAATGTAATCTTCATGAGAGGGAGCTTAGCTGCCAAACAAGGGGTACTTGGTAATAATTATTAAATGGTGAATTAGTATCTCCAGAAAATGCAGTGTGTAGCCTAGTACAGCCTTGGGGGCTTCAATGTCTCCTCTACTGCAAAGGGCTCTGGAGGCCTTAGTTTTTCCTGAATTGAAGTTTGGGGCAGGGGGGAGGTTTTGTTTGTCAAATATATGCCCCAATATTTAATGTTTGATTTCTAGTGGTTCTTGTTGCTTTTTAAACATTTAACTGTGAATTACCATGATGATTATGGTGGTGTTTGATGCCTGGTACAAATATGTGAGCCTGAAAGGGTGAAAGAGCAGAGAGAGGGTATTTTAAACGAGTCCATGTTGCTTCAGTTTGGTAAAACTGAGCTGTTATGGCACAGTACTTGTTTTGCAGCCTGTTGCTGGTGAACATACGGTTTTGGGAGGATAGATTGCGGCTGAGCTACTGCAGGAACCCAGGTTAGAAACAGGAAGCTTTGGGATTAATGCTCATTTGCTTTCCACAGGCCAGTTTCTCAAGAGGAAAAGTGCTGTGTTAAGTAAAATTATTCTTTTAACACTAGTGTTTCTTGTGTACACCGTGTCGGAAATTGTTCTTCCAAATGGTGGAGAATAACATTATGGGGGGAGGGGTAGTATGAAGAGGAGAGGAGGTAGCAGAGAGCTAAGGCTGCCATAAATGTATTTCTCATTTTTTACAAACCAGCACTTATTTTAGGTTGAGTGACCGAAAGCGTAGAGACTGTTGCCTTGCTCTACTCCTGGACTCGTGGCAATTCGAAAACGTGGAAGCATGCCTCCCTGGCCCACAGGATTCCGGCCTTTGTCCCTTTTCGCCTCCCCATTGGCTGAGGTCGCCGGGGTCACACCTTCTCTTAGGCTGTCCTTAGCTGCTGCGCGGGGGTGGGGCTTTGTGACGCACGCCCTGACGTTCCCCCGGGTATAAAAAGCCGCTGTGGGGCGGACTCCTTCAGGAGCCGCCTGCAAGGAGGCAAGGAGGAAGCACATTAGAACTCAGCCGAAAAGGAGAAGGTGGGGCGGGTCTCCCTGCGCCCCGAGGCAGTTAGGCGGCAGTTAGGACCTCGAGTAGTCTTGGTGAACGGTGGATTCTTGAAGTGTCGGGGAAGGCGCCACGGGAGGGGCGGCCCGGCCCTTGGGGTCGGGCCCGCAGATCTGCTCCCCGGCCTCTCCTGAGCCAGTTGACCACAACTCGATACCCTCTGTCCCACTTCAAACTGCCTGCTCCGCCAAACTAAAGGGCAAAACGAGCCCAGACCCAGCGGGGCCCACAGGCCCCGGAGTAGGTCTTTAGGGAGTGAGTGGTGTGTGCTGGTTGTGTTCTCTGTGGCTCCGATTCCGTGCCCTGGCATCTTCAGCCCAAGGCACTGTTTTCCCCGTGCAAGCGGTACCCCTGGGGTAGTGGGGAAAGGAAAGTTAACAGTTTGGCGCGGGGGGAGGGGGGGCTGGAGTTGTAACATTTGTTAGGTTTTGATAAATATTCTTTAAAGGAGCCTGGGGTGGAATTATTAAATTACCACGTTCAGCAACCTTGGATGTCTGTATTGGTGACTTCACCGATTGATATAGTTACGCTTGGTGTCACAGTATTTCTCAACTTGTGGACAATTCCTTGTATGGGATTGCGATGTAAAATGCTCGTTCCGGTCCTGGGGCACCGAATGGCCCCACACATTGACAAGGAGTGGGGTGAGGGCGCTGTGTGCCACCTAGCTTGAGAAATGTTAGGATCACTGCATAACTGGTTGCCCAGCAGTTGGTAGCCGCAACTGCTAAATGACTACAGAAGGGTCCATCATGGCTACTGGTAAGCCACTTTCAAAACATGACCTATCTGTTCACACTAGGGTGCAAGAGGTGTCCTTTAAAAAAAGAATTATACACACATGCATGTATGTGTCATACATGTAATTACTGCCTGGGTCCCTTAACATTTTAGTATTGCGCTTGCCAAAGCTGCCCTACTAGTTTTTAAAGGTGGTTTAATTCAGTGAAGCTCCTTTTAGATGATATTCTGATAGTAAATTTTCATTTAGGTATTTAGTATATTTAATTATATTCTCAAAGGGATTGCTCTAGCCAATCCAGATGTATTTTTTTTTCCTGACCTTAGGGAAGATGAAATGTACCTTTTTTATTTAAAAAAAGGCACAAAATAAATGGGCTTTCAAAATGCTATGATACCTTAGTTGCTTTTTATTAGAGATTGGCCCCTATATAATTGCTGTACCTAAACTGCCACTTAACCCCATGGAACTCATTACTCTATTTACTGTGGGGATGTTGTTGAGGACATGGTTCATTATATCACATGCTGCTCTCCTCTGTCTGAGGACCCATGGGAGAAATTTCTCTTGGGTCTCAGTGTCCAGAATAGCTCTGATTCTCCTAAGCAACTGATTTTTTTTTTTTTTTTTATCTCAGGAAACCTGAATCACTTAACCGTTGTCTGTTTTGTGATGCCTGCTTGGTAGCTCAGGGACTGATTTGACACCCTGACCTCTACAGCTTGTATGGGAATACTAACCTTACCTGTAGCTTCAGCCTGTTTTTCCTAGCATAATTCTTTTCTTTATCTGACTGATTTCTTTTTAATTTTGTTGTTTATGTGTATTTGTAAACCTTCTTAAATTGTTTTTTTTGGAATGAAACAATGTACACACACAGGGACACACGGTTCAGAGTGGCAGCCTCTGGAAATCTGGAAACTACAGGTTAGACCATGCAATACCCTTGCTACCACTTAAAATCCAGAAATCGGGGGAAGGGGGAAAGAGGAAAAAACTAGAGCAAAGGTTAAGGGAAGATAGAGAAACATGTACATGGTGGTGAGTGGTGTAATACTATGTGTAACTTAATACCTATTCTGGTTGTTTTAAAGAACTTAAAGCTTAAAAATGTATTCTTAAATATTATCAATGTGTCTAGGGACATATTTAGAAAAATAGTCAGGGGGGGGACATTTTTTTGAGAAACCCTGCGTTGTGACTCTACTTCATGCATGCACAGAAAAGCCGGAGCCTGTGTGGGTTGGAAGTATGTTGTTCAAACACAGATAAATGAGCTTGATATATTTTTCTTGGCATTTTCTTGCACAAAATATTTACTGAATTTTACAGAAACAAGTTTCATTTGTTTGGTTGCTTTTTTGTTCTTTGTTTTTAATATTCTGGGGCTCCCAGCAGGGCTTTTCCCATGGATTTCTGTAAACAGGACTAGACTACTCACCTGCACGTTGAAAGCTATTGGCAATGTGATTTTTTTCAAAAATTACCATCAAGAATTAGCCCATTTTGCTAGAAAAAATACTGACAGAACTAAAGCTAATTTTAATAGGAGATAGATTTGTTCTTTGATGCTATAGTTAACTCATAAGAAATATTTTAAGAAAAACTAATCCACTATGTATAAGACTTTATTTTTTCTTCATTACAGTTGAGATTATAGACATCCTGCCAAAATGTTTTCTTCAAAGCCCAGACTTGTCGTACCTTATGGCCTCAAGACTCTGCTTGAGGGAGTCAGCAGAGCCGTTCTCAAAACCAACCCGCCAAACATCACCCAGTTTGCAGCAGTTTACTTTAGAGAACTCATTGTATTTAGAGAAGGTTTGTAGTTGCTTCAGATTATATATTTGTTGCTATGAAAAAGCATTTTAAGTTGGGAATTTTTTGTATCTGATTTCCTGTATTTATCCCTTCAGGGAATGCTTCTCTGGATATAAAAGATCTGGTTAAACAATTTCATCAGGTTAAAAGTAAGTACCACAAGTGGTAGTGGTTTAATAACTCTAGTTATAAGTTATTGCATTAGTAATAGCACATACTCAAACCTAAGAAAAGTGCCCACATGTATTTTGTTTAAACAGTCATACTGTTTATGTTAAATAATCAAATGGAGGCTTTATTTTTTATTATTGAATCAGATTTAAAAAAAAAATTGGGACTGACATTTGAGATTCTAAATCTTAAAAAGGCAAAAATGGGAAACATCTTTTGCAAACCATGTGGTACAAGGAGGCTTAAAACAGTGTAATTTTTCCAGTATGGTGGACTGTCTTTTGGGAAGTACATGTACTTGAAGAGGATTGAATTTTGTAGTAATAAAGACTTAATTATAATGAAATACATTACTTAGAAAAGTTGTATAAGCACTCCTGCCCCACCATGCTGGTTTGACTGCAGTCCAGGTTGGAAGACAGGAAATCAATCAGTTGTCACTGGCCATCTTTTCCCTGTGTCCCTCTATGTGATAGAGGGAGACTTTTCATAGAAAGTGGCCTCCTTGGGCCTCTGCGATAGAAGGCTGTATATCTTCTTTGAAAAAAGTTGTTTTATGCATGTGTATGTAAATGTCTGTCTTATGTGAATGTGAAACCGAATGGACAGAGGAGCAATGAAAAAGTCAGAGGGGTAGAAATGAGAAAGTCCAAGTTTACATGATGAAAATTTGGGAAGATCACCATAGCAAAAGCACATGTATTGGTCAAGGTCCAAGGACAGGCACACATGTCTAAAAGAATGATTAAAAATAAAAGCTTTTAGTAGAATTTTGTGGAGAAAATGGAGGCTCATGGTCAGAGTGGGAAATAAACTGAATAATTCTTGCTGCATTGGCAGACCAGCATTTTGGAGTGATCACAGAGAAAGCAAAGATAGGAGCAGTGTGTCTCAGCCACTCTTGTACTCTGCCATTTTGGCGTTGGTAATAGACAAGATAGGGAGAAATCAGGAATAAGACCTAGGAAAAATGTGAAAACCATGATAGTTTGGACCTGCAGTGCAAGAGACATCCAAAACAGAAAGCGAGATTGAGAATAACAAGAGCCAGCATTTTGAAGGGCCCTGATGGCATTCTCAACTTACCATGGAAACAGGTCTGGGATTTGCTAGCCACCAGCAGGGTATCCAGATAAGTGCAAGAACATTGACCCTATCCCCCTTCCTCATGCCAGGAAGTCAAGGCTGTTAATTGCCTTTGTACTTGCACCCTCTATGCCAGGAGCTATGTTTCAGAGCTATGGGAGTGTGCCCACTTATTATGTTTGAAAATGATGATAAAGTCAGTGAATCTTTATGGGGGAAGCTAAGTAACTGGTAGCTTTACAATAATTTTTATTTATTTACTTTCTAGAGAAAGGGAAAGGGGAAAGGAGGAAGGAAGGGAGAGAAACATTGATGTGAGAGAGAAACATTGATCAGTCACCTCTTGCATGCTCCCAACCTTCCTAACCAGGAACCTGGCCTGCAACCCAGGCATGTGCCCTGACCAAAAATTGAACTGGTGATGTTTTGTCTTACGGGATGATGCCCAACCCATTGAGCCATACCAGTCAGGGCAGCAAATGGTAGCCTTTGAGGCTAATTTGTTTACTGAAGAATTCACCTACTATTCAACTTAGCTAGGAGACGAAATCAATGTGGATTTTGGTCCAGCTAGGTTAATGTCTTTGAATCTCAGGGTTCAGAATTAACATACTGAACTAGTGGAGCAGCCCTGCTCTCAGCGGAGGTAAGGGTAGGAGAGTCTGCTGCTTTTCTCCTTTAGTAGCTTCCCATATCAAGGAAATTGACATAGTGGGCAGATAAGCCCCGAAGGAAGCTCACGGTTTGGCTGTAGAAACAACTTTCTCTTTAGGCAGTAGAGTAGAAATGAATATTGCTTGTTCTAGTTTTCCATGGACATGAGAAGGTAACATAGAGGTATGACCAGAAAATATAGAGTTTAATATTACCATCTAGTATCAGTCTGGCTCATTTGTCTGTTTGCCTTCCATTGCCATCTCAAACGGACACCCAGCATCCATGAGCTCAGGTCCTGTCACAGAGACAACACAACACTCCAGAAGAGCATCACTCTGGGCCAGAGTGGGACTATCTGGGGATCTATAGGCGCCATCAGGTTTCCACGTGGTATGGGCATATCCTCCTACCTTCTGACTGGTTTAATTTTCCAACTGCTAGCCCTGTGGGAGCTCTGGGTAAATTTGGTGCATGGTTGTTCAGTTCTCTACAAAGCAAATGTAAGGTATAAATGCCAGGTGGCATCTTAATAGGACTTCCCTTATGTGGATCCCAGTTTTAAATATGGGTGGTGGCACTTGGAATACCCTACATGTTGTACTGGTCCCAAGGGTTGAGGCTCTCCCAGGCTTTCAATGACTTGCAATATGGGGAGGTTAACTGTTCTTTGAGCACTGATTCAAGGGATCTTTTTCTTGGTCTTTCAGTCTCTTCAGCATGAGTGAGGCTAGATCAGCCCAAAGACAAGCCCAGGTATGGGGACTTGGTGATGTGGGCAAGAGCTAACTTCCCTCCCTCATGCATCGATCCCCACTCATCTCCCAGATGTCAGATATGAGCATGGGAGACATGCACCCAAAGTTATTCCCAAGCTGGTTAGTTCACTGCCTGGCAGCCTTACTATTACCAAGCTGGCCATATGCATGGAAAGCATGGAGATAAGTACATATCATTTGTTTAATTTAAACTCTTCATCCTGGGATTTTTCTTAGAAGGGGCCCCATTTGGGGGGTGGCCTAACCATAGGACCAATCATGTTTATCCATCTTTCCATTGACTTCAACATTTTTTATAGAGTCAGGTGATGGATGAGGGAGGAGGAGAAGGAACAGACATGGGAGCCAGCTCTCCTCACTTCTCTGTTGTCTCTCATCTCTCCCACCAGTTCCCAGAGCCTAGGGCCTTTACAATGGCCTGTGACTCTGTCTAAGCCTGTGTTGTGGCACTTCAGCCACACATACCCATCTGCAAAGCAGCTCACACTGTGAAGCACTGTCTTGGATCCTCCTTTTGTTTTCCTACAATTTGGTTAAAGAGATCTCACTACCATATGAATCAATGAAAGCTCTGCCATTGTTCAGTCTTCTTAAGAGAGTTTCTAATAAAAGTGAATCATTAATTGAGGGGATTTTATAAACTCAGGCAATATGTGAAGTGCCACTACTTAATATATTCTAGGGAAAGAAGGAAATGGAATTTATTGAGTGCTTGTTTTATCCTAGGCACTTAAAATAATTTTGCCACTTCAGTTTGTAAGGTAGGTGACATGATTGCAGTGTTACTCAAGAGAACTTGGATGCCTGGGAGTGATTAAATAAGTTGTAAGCTTCTCATTATTAATTGGTAGAGATAGAATTTAAACTTAGATCTTCCTAGTAGCATGGTTCATGCTCTCCCCACCATAGAGTAACATTCTAGGATCCCTCTGAGAAAACCTTACATTCTTGAACTGAGTGAAGGGAGAGGGATCTCAGCTTCCTTTCCCCCCATCATCTCCCCCTATTTCACTCCCTCCTTCCACCACCTTCTTACCTCAGAAGCTGAAGCCCAGATTGGGCTACTTCTGACCTTGTCACCATCCAGTGAAGAGGTCACTGGTTTCTCCTCCAGAGTGGCAAGTGAGATGTCAACCTCACCATCACCCTCCCTTCTCCTGAGCTTGAGGCCAGTTTCCAGAGTCAGCCCCCCTTGGCTTCCAACACGGAGAGGGAATAACCACCTCTTTTGAAGAATCAAGAGCTCCTAGCCCACCTGAATCCCTGAGTGACCCTGGTAACTTTTCAAACTGATCCTGAGCATTGCTGGGGTCATATGACAGTCATGGACCGCTGCCGATCACTGGGCCCGGTCTTGATTCCCTTGCAGCACCATGGAGTTATGCGTAGCATGAAATAGTGTCTTGAGTTTATTGATATTAAATATTCATAATAATGTTTTTAGTTCTCATGCCAAAGCTTATTTTTATACATTCTTTTTAGTTTGTCATGCTTTTTAAACAAGGAGTATATATATTTTGGGGCTAACAATACTAAATTTTGGGACACTGTGGTGCTACTGTGTACTTACTAGGGTGTTTCCTTCAGGTGAGACTGTACTGACAATTCCTTAAACCAGGTTGGGCATTGTACCAAAATGACCCTTTTATTTCTTGAAGCCTTTCATTTGCCTATGCAAGGTAGTTAATTTCATTACCAAGGCAGGAATTCCATTAAGTTTGAAAAAGGTTTGGATGATTATCTGGTAATGCTGGGAGGAGGACTTAGGTCCTTCATGCTTTCCCATTCTGGTAAGACTAACCAGAATAGTCCATACTGAAGAAGGCAAATAAATCATAGAGTAATGGCACAGTCAAGAACTGGGGTCGGACAAGGGACAGAAACACAGATTTAGGGTTAAGAGAGGAGGGGGGTGGCCCTGGCCAGGAGGCTCAGCTGGTTGGAGCATCGTCCGTACACGGAAGGGCCACAGTTCCAATCCCAGTCAGGGCACAGAGCTAGGCTGCAGGTTGATCTCCAGTCGGGATGCCTACGAGAGGCAGCTGATGGATGTTTCTCTCACATTGATGTTTCTCTCTCTTTCAAATCCATAAAGCATGTCCTTGGGTGAGGACTAAAAGAAGAGAGAGAGAGAAGAGGGGGTTTCTGGGTGGGAAGCAGATAAGGCAACCAGGAGGGATGAGGCCAGGAAAGCTAGGGATGAGGTCAGGAGCAGCAGTGAGACAAGAGTAAATACATGAAGGAAGAACATCTTGCGCCTTATACATTTTCACTTGCTCTGCTTCCCAGAAACTCTGGTGGCTCCCTATTGTTTACAAAAATCTAAATTCTTCAGTGTTCCAAGGATACTTTTGAAAAATATCAGACTAGTATGTATTGCTTTCACATAACCTATGTTTATTCTGTTGGTCTCTGTCCACTGAAACATTCATTTGCTCTAGAGGAAAGGCAAACACAGC